ATATGTGTTTTTAAAATAATTATTATTAATTTGCAGGGCTTGTTTTGTTTGTTTTATGGAGGGCTTAAACAGGCCAGTAAGAGACTACAACTCATCCTTTTAATTACACAAATGTCTCGTTAAAAATGTCTACAAATTGATAAAACTGATCCGAGATCAGAGATGATCAATGGTTCACCGCTGGGAGGCGAGCTCAATGAACTCGCATGATTTACGGGTTCACAGAGATCGCCCCCAAAGGCAAACTATTGAAATTTCGAAACGTTTCGAAACAGTTATCACGTAACAAAGCCTCGTTTACTGAAATCACGTGACTTTGGCATTTTGATACGCGCTCCAAACCACTGTTTTGAAACAAATGGTTCGCAAAGGTTTCGAAGCTTCATGAAGCAGTGTTTCAGAAGCGGCCATCACTACTTTCAATAAAACATTTGCAATGGTTTTTTAAAAGCTGTTTTTATGCATGTTTTGGCATGAGTTTTTGTTGCATTTACACACTTTTGACCAGCAGGCGTCACCGTGTGGTGTTTCGAGCGCTTCGAAATCATTTTGCGAAGCAATTGGTTCAACTGATTCGAAGCTTCGAAAAGGTTTGTTTCTCCCATCACATATTGCTCATATATACAGTATATATATATATATATATATATATAGTGTATAAATTAGATTGCTGTGTTTACAGATTAGCCAATTTATCTGTGAATTAATTTTGGGGAACAACTGACTTTCAAAAACAGATTCCATTAGATTCGCTGTATATCAGGTTAGATATTCTAAAACTTTCTAGGACTTGCATGCTACATCTTACCCTTGATAAACTGTATTAGGTAAGTAAATATTTTTTAAACCACACAGAAAAAACAAATACAAAATGCATGTTTTTATTAAGTCAATATTTTATCCATGCATATGCTTGTATATACTCAAAAATATAGAATTGGAAATAAATAGTCATTACATTTCAGGGTATTAATTCACAGAACCCCCACAAGTTACTGTTGCACAGTATACATATATAGATTTATACTTTGTCCAGCGAGTTATTGATTTGTCGTTAAACATATTTCTTCATCACAACTGTTGAAGTTTTTATTTTAAGCAGGCACAATGTACAGATAATGCAACTACAGTCCAGTCCATTACTATGTGCTGCTTAATTCTGTCTGAAGGGAAACTTGAAAACTGTAAATTTTTGTTTAATATACAATTTGCAGGATGAGAAATTGTAAAGATTTTAATATTGCAGCAGGTTAGAGTATATGGTAAACTTTGACAGTGAATAAATTATAAAGGACAACTCAGGCCTGATTGCTATAATATTTTGTCACTGAAGTTATGAAACATTCCACACACCCTTTTTTCTTGAGTGAAGAGAACACTGAGACAGAAAAAACATTTTAAACCATTCAGATATGGTATTTTCACCAAAAATAATTAAAAGAATAGTTCAGCCAAAAATGAAAATTTGTTGAAAATCATTAATGTAGATTAATTTGTTTCTTCATCAGAACAGATATGGAGAAATTTAGCATTACATTACTTACTCACCAATGGATCTTCTGAAGTGAATGGGTGCCGTCAGAATGAGAGTCCAAACAGCTGATTAAAAAAAAATCACAAGTAATCCACACAACTCCTGTCCATCAATTAACATCTTGTGAAGCGTAAAGCTGCATGAAACAAATCCATCAAGACATTTTAACTTTAAAACGTTGCTTCTGGCCAAAATGCAAATCCATAATCCACAATAACATTTCCTCTAGTGAAAAAGTTCATCCCCTATTGTCCTCTCACATCAAAATGCACTAACATATTTGTTTAGAACTGTTTTGCACTGTTGTCGCTTGTATACAGTGTGCATATTTCTCTCCTGATTCAGACTAAACTTATTCACTGGTTTGAAGTTAAAAACATCTTAATAATGGATTTGTTTATTACAAACACGCATCTTTGATCAACAGTTAATTGATGGACTGGAGTTGCGTGGATTATTTGTGGATTATTTGAACTCTCAGTCTGACGGCACCCATTCACTGCAGAAGTGAAGTGAGGAAGTAATGTAATGCTAAATTTCTCCAAATCTGTTCCAATGAAGAAAACAAACTGATCTACATCTTGGATGGCCTGAAGATGAGTACATTGTCAGCAAATTTTCATTTTTGGGTGAACTATTCCTTAAAGCAATTAAATAATTAAAGCAAGCTTCTACTGTAAATCACAATTTAAGTTTTTTTCTTTTTCAGTGCTTGGCTCTTTCTTGGGGTTTAAAGATACTATGGGAGACATACTGGCGACACAACTGTGTGACTGTAAAACTCCTTTCCCTGTTCCACCTGTAAAGACAAGGAATGGTTCGGTACTGGGCCTGACCCAAAAACCCTCATATAGGAAGACACATCAGGTAATAATAAGACAGGCCTTGGATACATCCCGGGGGAAATATTACAGAAAAGTGCAATAAAAAATAAACTGTGTATTTGATCACTTCTGTAATAACATTCGTAGATTACGCTTTATCGCCTAACAAAAATATAGTCACATTACCTGAAAATAGAAGGCCAAAACATGTAACAATGTACCATGTCTGTTAAATAGCTACAGTAGCTGTGCTTCAGGACAAACGGGGACCTTCTCAGGAGTTTAGGGAAGCCCACACTCCATGGCATCTTTGATTGGCATACGGAAGTACATTTCTCATTGGCCATTTCTCAAACAGAGAATCTGCAAATTACTGGTAAGTGCTGTCTCTCTATTGTTGACTGCTGGCCTGGTCAGCGAGTCAGGTTGAGGCAGTTGAAAGATGAATCTGGCAGAACCAGTTGGACATGAAGACAAGGCCTTTGGACTCAGAGCGGAGCTGTAGGATCTGTGAACGTGGCTGGATCAGCACGAGCTTTCAGAAGTTCAACAATCTCAGAGTGGGAAGCCTTCATGGCTACTGACAGAGCTGTGTGTGCATCCTATTAGTGATAGAGGGAAAGAAATGAAATGTGAATGATGCTGAAAGGCATGTTTGTGGTTCATGAGAATGACAGCATGTCTCGCAACCTGCCCACGCTGGCATCTCCCTAATTTGTGTAGATCCTATTGTGATTGTAAATGGACACACAGACTTTGAACAACAAAAAAAAATGTAAGTATGCTGCTTCTTCTCTTATATGCATATTTATAGCTCTCTGTGACCCTTTACGAACAGACCTTTGATTAATTTTTGGCTCGCAGTCCAGCTGAGAATCACTGCAATAAAAACACCCAGTTTGATTAAATGATAAAAGATGCATTGTTATGACTTCATCAGCCTGTTGGATTGATTACACTGTCAGATTCTGAAAACACCCATGAACAGTTAATGGTGCATTTCCTTTTTCAAAAGGAAACAATATTGGGAATTAATTATTAGTATGTAAGAAGCATTAAATACAAGTGTTAAATAGTCAATATTCAGATATTTTTGCTAATTAGGCAAAACACATCTGAATATCGATAATAAAATATACACTGCTGTTCAAATGTTTGGGGTCAGTAAGATTATTTATTTTACTTTTTTTTAAAAATAATTTTATTCAGCAAATTGCAATGTTATAAAATATTTATATTTCAAATAAATGCTTCTCTTTTGTACTTTTTATTCATATAAGAATCCTGAAAAAAAAAAAAAATATATATATATATATATCATGGTTTCCACAAAAATATTAAGTAGCACAACTGTTTTCAACATTGATAATAATAAGAAATGTTTCTTGAGCCCGAATCAGCAAAATAAAATGATTCCTAAAGTATCATGTGACACTGAAGTCTGGAGTAATGGCTGCTAAAAATTCAGCTTTGCAATTCCAGGAATAAATTACATTTTAAAATATATTAAAATAGAAAACAGTTATTTTAAATAGTAATAATATTTCACAGTATTACCGTTTTTATCAACTAAATGAATAAATGTAGCCTTTTTGAGCATAAGAGACTTCTTTCAAAAACGTAAAAAAAATAAAAGAAAAAAAAAACTTACCAAACCAACATTTTTGAACAGTAGTGTATATATTTTATTAGGAAAGATAGTTTAACATACATGCAGTTATGTTAAAATATTTTTCTTAATAATGATATAAGAATACATTTTTCCTAATAATAATATCTAAAATCTAGACCAGTGAATAGTAAATAACTAACTAATAAATAAACAACCATTTAAAAAAAAACTGAAGTAACTACTTTTTACCACAGAGTGCATTTTCTTGAAATAAAGTAAGGACTGAACTAATGGCTTGCCAGCTTCATGTAGCACTTTTGTGAAAGCACTGAGGCTCATAGTCTCAAGTTTTCACCAAAATCGTTCTTTAACATATTTTCAAATGTGTCAGAATTTATCGTATGTGTTGCACTTTAAAGTGTCACACACTGTCAAAAGCAACTACACTGTAAAACATTTCTACCTACTTCAATTAAAAAACATTGGTTACCATGACATTTCGGATCAAATCATTTTTTACAATGTATTTTTCGAAAATGCACATGAAAAATCAGAAAAATGGAGATTAGTAGGCCCATTAAATTTCCAGTGTGAATTAAAAATGCTAATTTCTTATTTTCATGAATAGTATGGGAATTTAGGGACCTCAAAGTAAAAGTGTGGTTTTTAAATGCTGGCTCTTGTTTGTCAAGGTTAGGCATCACCAGTATAATGTTTAATATATCAGTGTCTCTCTCACCTTATCTGTGAGTGATATGTCACACTCTGGTCTGTCCAGTAGTATTTTGACTATCTCAGTATGGCCGTGCTCACAGGCACACATCAGAGCAGTGGATCCATCCCGGTCCTGTATGTTCACATCAGCACCGCAGTCCAGAAGAACCTGGACCATCATTGTGCGGCCATGACTAACTGCAAGCATCAGTGCTGTTTGCCCTGACTAGTGGGGAGTAACGAAAAAAAGTCTTATTTATATAAAAGAATCTTCATCATACCATATAATCAAATAAATGGTGTACTAAATAACAGCTCAATGCTGCACACATAAAGAATTTGTACAAGCTAAAACATTAAGAATTTAGTTGTCTTGTATTACAAATATCAGTAGGCCTACATGAGTAACAAAATTGTGTTTTTTGCAGTACAGGATATTGTGGTGTCTCGCTGTGTGTACCTGGCTGGCTCGAGCATTGATTTTGCCAATTCTCAGTAGCTGCTGAGCCACCTTATAATCATACCTGTTTGGCAGATGAACAGTAATGTCATCTGATATTTCATAATATTAACATTTTATTGTATTTTTTATTAAATAAATGCAGCGTTGGTTAAATAAATGCTGACTTGCAGCTCTCTAGATTTTGGCATCTGTGTATATTCAATCCATATTGCCTGACCCCTACTTTAAATACTAATTAAAATTCTAATGAAAAATGCTGCTATTTCTTCTCAGGTATGAAAATGCAGGTCTCTCACCTGTGTCTAGTAACAGCTTGACCACAGAGAAGTTGGAATGGGACACACTGTAATGCAGTGCCATGTTTCCATTACCATCAGCCAGGTTTACTATATAGCGCAGCAGAGTGGGAGTGTGGTAGCCCACCTCCCTTAGGTACAGCGTGACTATCTCTGCCTGAGAGTCCTTCTGACTGGACACGCGGAACCACTCCTGATATAAGACCATCAGAACCTGCCTCTGAGATTCAAAAGTCAAGAGTTAGCTTACTAAAGAAGACTTATAAAGGTTAAGATTATAAAGTTACATCTATATTGAGTTGTATTTATTGTCATGTTACGTAGAATGGACAGAAAAATAACTTTTCCTTCTTGGTACAGGTTTGAAGGCAATAAATCAAGTTCAGTGAATCGACATTAACTGCTTACCATGTCTTTATTTGGGGCAGCAACCTCAGCCGTGCGATCCTTCAGGAAATGACAAGCAGCCATGAAGTTCTTATCAACTAACTCACTGCAACAACACAGATTTAGCTGTAATTTAAATCACAGGGATGCATTAAACTCATAAATAATTAGACAGGATATAGTGTCTTCTCTGCAGTTTTTCCAGCCTAAGAAACTTTCAAACTGTTTACAAAAATAGACATAAGATATTAAATCATGCATCAGTCTTCCATGTGCATCCGCATTATATAAAATCATTGTCAAATACAGATTGCCTGCATACCTAAGCCTCAAAAGAAAATCTGTATTTGATACATATGAAATGCAATGCATTTTGGTAATTTGAATCTTGGTAACATTAGTTGAGAATTACTCATATTGCACTGGCCTCTCAAGCAAATTGTTACCAATATTTAAATGGCATAAACATCTTGATTTGGATGACACAAACATCTTCATGTAATTCTGGTACATGCAGATTTTGGAAAAGTTCTGTCACTTGAGGAATATGAACTGTGTTTAAAATTTTACATTCTTCTGTATATGTGTTTTTAGACGCTTGTGTACTGGTGGGCCTAAACCTGCACTAACCCATTCAAAAGTTTGGGATCAGTGAGATTTGAATAAAGATTTAAAAGTAATTTTAAAATATATTCCTTTGATGGCAAAGCTGAATTTTCAGCAGCGTTTACTTTAGTCTTCAGTGTCCCTTGATCCTTCAGAAATCATTCTGATATGCTGATTTGGTGCTTAAGAAAAATTTCTTATTATAAATGCTGAAAACAGTTGTGCTGCTTGATATTTTTGTGAAAACGAATACTTTGATGAATAGAAATTTCAAAAGAACAGCATGTATTTGAATTCCAAATCCTTTATAATATTATAAAGGTTTTTACTCTAATTTTTGAGCAGTTTAATAGATCATTGCTGAATAAAAATAATAATTTATTTAAAAGAAGAAGAAGAAGATACAAAAGAAGAAGAAAAAATCTTTCTGTCCCCATAGTTTGACTCTTATACTCTTGATACTATTAATGGTTGGAACTACTTGCAGAAGAATATCTAATATGGTTTATTAACATTAACTTAGAACTAAAGCATGATATAAATATGTATATTTATCTTTGTATCTGGTGTATGAGGCTGCATGCCAAATCTCCCAAAACATCAGAAAAAAAAATAAATAATAAAAAATAAAAATCATTCCCCTACCCCAAAATTATAAATATTGTAATCAAAATGGTGTTTTCATAATCATAAAAGAAGATACTCTCCGGTTTTCCCATATGGCCATGTTGCTTTAAATGGTTCAGCCTTTTGTTGTTAAGCAGTCCTTTAAGTGGACCATTGACTGGGCATATTAAACTTGTCACTCAGCGTTTGTACTTTCCTGCCAGATGATGGGCAGAACAAAAGGCAGGATTGTGTCTGATTCAGATAACAGAGGCTCCTGCTTTGGGAAACCTGCATGAAGGGTCACTGCACACTTTAATGTGTTACGCCAACTCATATAATGAACTAATGAGCTTTTCACACCAGGTTGAAAAGGTAAAGGGGGCCAGCACAAAATAAAAGTCCTGTGGTTCTTCCTTAAACACTCTTTGAAGTTTTTTCCATGGCAGAGATGCCACTGAATGTAAAACATATATAACTCCCATCAATTGACCACTTAAGCCATAGGGACTTAGAAAAAAACATGTATGAGTTACTTCTTGTTAGCAATAAGAATGTAAAGTCATTCAACCCCCTCTTTTCACCCCGGCCCTCCATCTCACCTAGCAGGCTGCTCCTCCTGGGGACTCGTGGCGGCCTGGGCAGCATCAGGCTCCTTAGAGCCCTCTGCCACCTCTGCCTGAACCCCATCACCTTGCTCCCCAGTAGCAGCAGCCTCCTCCTGGGCCGTTTCACTCTCCTCTCCCTGCTCCACCTCAGGCTCCGAGCTATCCACCTCCTCAACCTCATCCTGATCCTCCTCCCCAGTGGAGTCCTCACTGGAGGTGGTCTCATAGCTGCACACACAGATAACGTGAGTCAAGGGGGTTCTTTTGATAGTATCCCATTTTGCATTAGCGAACTTTTCTATGATCAGGATTTTATGTCTAACCTGTGTTTAGTTACGGCTAATACTTCCTGACCATATGTGCTTCAAAATATATGATTAATACTACTACTACTAATAATAATAATATTTTTATTTTATATTATATTTATTTATGTATTTATATGGTAAGGCCTGCTAATGGCAAACAAATGTAATGTGTCAGTTGTGAATGGACATGCAAAATTCTTGTGTTTATACAAGCTGTTCAAATGAGAGGGCCCTCTGTGGGGTCTGAGGGGTTCTTATGTGGTGAGCCTGTCTGAAGAATGCCGCTCTTCATGGATGTTTTCAGATAGGCAAGAGGAATGGCATCCCCACAATTCCTCAGGGACATGGGTGAATGGAGGCCTATAGCTGCAGGTCAGGTGACTACACATTTATTAGGGTGTTGAGTATGAGGGCCTCTTTTGAGTACTTCAGATCTGAGACAAGGAGGCCATGCATTGGTTGAGTATTATGCTCTGCTATCGTCTTAGTAATCAAGATTTCCAAATGTGATTAGTCTAATAGCTTTGTATACAGCTTATAAATAAGAGAATTGGACAGAAAATGGACATGCTAGACAGCCAAAGGGGGTGATTCAGCGTTTTGATACTGCTATTTGTGCTATTGTATGTATATATACACACACACACACACACATATGTAACATCTGAAGAAAAACTTTTTGTTGTCCATAACATGTATGAACACACATTTGAATATAAATAAGTAATGAATAAACCCTAAAGGTAGGCTGTCTGTAAGATTGGATATTTATTTTCTTGCCCCTGAAATAAAATTAGGCAAAATGTTGCATCCCCACAATTCCTCAGGGACATGGGTGAATGGAGGCCTATAGCTGCAGGTCAGGTGACTACACATTTATTAGGGTGTTGAGTATGAGGGCCTCTTTTGAGTACTTCAGATCTGAGACAAGGAGGCCATGCATTGGTTGAGTATTATGCTCTGCTATAGTCTTAGTAATCAAGATTTCCAAATGTGATTAGTCTAATAGCTTTGTATACGGCTTATAAATAAGAGAATTGGACAGAAAATGGACATGCTAGACAGCCAAAGGGGGTGATTCAGCGTTTTGATACTGCTATTTGTGCTTGGCTGACTGTGACAGCGCTAAATAACAGAATGAAATTATATTATGGTGGTTTGGGTCAAAACTGTGTGCAAATTCTGAAATCACCAGCTGTCATTGAACAACAGCAGTGCAGGGCCTCTCTCAGGATAATCACAGTCTATCAGACATAGACGCAAACCAAATCTGCCAACACTCCCACGCAGTCTTTTCAAACAATATTTCAAAACAGCAGTATATATAAAAGGTCATACATGTATGTCACTTGATATTATTCACAATATAGATATTCCAGCATGTTTTGGCATTCTGATAAGATAAGGTCCTAACTTGTGTTTTGTTAACCAGTCATGCATTAATTAATTCTGAACTCTTCTTGCTCAAGGAATCAGCATATTGATTTTTTTGGCCATTTTTGTACATTTTTGAAAATACATTTGATATACAGTGGGTACGGAAAGTATTCAGACCCCCTTAAATTTTTCACTCTTTGTTATATTGCAGCCTATATGTATTGTATGTATATATACACACACACACACACACATATGTAACATCTGAAGAAAAACTTTTTGTTGTCCATAACATGTATGAACACACATTTGAATATAAATAAGTAATGAATAAAGCCTAAAGGTAGGCTGTCTGTAAGATTGGATATTTATTTTCTTGCCCCTGAAATAAAATTAGGCAAAATGTTTTGGTATATGAAGGTTAAAAGTAAATATATTTTCAATATCAATTATGTTTAGCAGGCCAGTTGTTTGTCCAATTCTATCAGGATAATTATCTTATTGTTGAAGGCTGGTCAAATACAGCTGAGACAGAACCATTTCTGCTGCCAAGCTAAAAAAAATCATTCACCGCACACAGCGACAGGCAGACAGGCAGAGACACAGCAAGAGAGAGAGGGACAGAGAGAGGACTTGTTCTTCGTGTCATCTCACTAGGCCTCACTAATCATGCAACAGCTCTCACAGAAAACAATGCCGACACCTCATGGCCCATTTCTAACAGAGCACTGTGATGAAGGATGAAACAGATTAAGGGATGTAAAGAGACAGGCCGGACATCTGATGTCATGGATGTTGATGAAATAGATTCATCCTTCAACACTTTACATGAAAACACCTGCAACTGTGATTCTGGGGCAACTGCTAAATGTAAGGCATAATGTTAATTTAGGTCCCCCATTAGACTTTTAGGAGTGTCCTAACTTCTTTTTAATCACTTACAACATTATTTTATAACTTCTACATAGATGACAGGTGATTTTATGAAAAGCATTACCATCCATATAAACTATTTGCTATAAAAACAAAACAAAATAAAAACACATACCCTCCATTTACGCCAACAAACTTCAAGTTCTTCTTCGCTCCTCCGTTGCCCTGCTTGTCAGGACAGTCATTCTTCTTCATGATAGATTTGAGGCCTTATATGGGGGAGATAAAAAGTAAAAACGTAAGCCAAGTCTGCACCTGTTCATCATCCCTAGCACTGACTTAACTCTATACATCACACAGTCAATTTTGTCCAACCTGAAAACAAAGAAGTCTAGGAGATATTACTTTTGAATGTCTTGAAATAACTTTACCAAAAGCAATATGAACAACAAAATGCTGAACCGTACACTTGCTGTGCTCCACAGAGTGGGTCAGATAGATGTACTCATTCATAATGTAGCACACCAAACTGTCAAAACAACTGTTACAGTCACAGAGGTACTTATATTTTAAAAGAAACAAAAAAGAGACCACCATTCTTACCTACCACAATAAATTCTCATCAGTCATGTGATCGTAAAAGAGATAGAATAGTACAGAGCATTTACAGAGATTTGTTCCCTAGTGTTTGTCTGAGATTGTTGCAGAGAACAGAGGTGTGTAACAACCAAAGGAGCCAGTGGATGCAATTACAACAAAACACAACATATCAAAGAGTTTGAAAAGCTTCTGGGAATTATGAAAAAAGCTCAAAATGTCCCATAAGACTGTGTTCATTAACCAGGACACAACGAGATAAAAATTAGCCATTAAACTATCATTTTAGTAAAACAGGTTGCTTTTAAGTGACCGTAATATTGTACAATATTCAGTGAAATTGCAGAAGAACATAATTAGAACAAAAGAGCATAATTAACTGTGGTTGCACAAATAACAATGGATGCCAGTATTTATGAGACCGCATCATTTTGCAAGCACAGTAATATGCCAGATGCTTTTAAACTGTCAACACGCATCTCCTAAATGATCTTGGCATATGGAAAGCAACTTCAATATGAATGCCCAATGCCACTGGGTCTCCGCATTGCAACAGATGGGTTTCTGTGCCGCATATGCATACATAATCAGACAAAAAATATGCATATTTGAACTTATTATTTCAAGTTGACTTTAACATATGTTTCAGATCTTTAGATTGTCATCTCTAGCTCCCAAAACCTTCACTTCAAACTCAGTAAGGCCTGTTTCACATAGCTTGTAAGCAGTGTGTATTCAGATGTATGGGTCAACTTCCTATGTAGAATAGAATAAACTGGAATGTTTGCTAGTTGTTAATGGACACCATAAATCCTTGAGGTTTGCAGAATAAAATCATAAGGTTCATAGAATACTGTTTTTTTTTTTTTTTACTCAGTGCTATAACATGGTTGACACCTAAATACCGTAGCTTTGCTTACAAGCTGCACATGCAAGCTTTGTGAAACAGGCCTAATACAAGAAATATCTAATACCAAAGAACGATCTAACCATCTAAGTCAAAGAGACAATCACATCAGTCATTATTGTCTATTTAATGAGCTTACTGAGAAGGCACATGACTATATGGAATGAGACCTCATCTTACCTGATTGTCGTGCAGCCCCTCCTTTCTGAACAGGTGAGTAAAAGGCAGACAGGGCACTGAGGGACCCTCTCAGATGGCTTTGAATTGAGCTTATTTTGGAAGAATGAGGTTTCTGAGAGCTCTCTCCTTTTGCGTCTTGGCCCCCACTTCCCAAACTGGCCCACTGCTCATTAAGAAGCCCCTGTATACGATTAACAACCTGACCGATTGCAGCAGGAGAAGCTGTGGCTTCAGATGCCCTTTGAGACTGGAGGTGGGGTTCCTGTCCTTGTGTTTCTCTTGGTTCCTGCTGTGTTTGCAAACCTGAACAACTTTCTACTCTTGCTTTGTCTGTTACTGTGCTTTCAACAACTGGACTCTCCTTAGATTCGATCTCTTGGACTGTGGGCTTAGGGACTTCATTTTCACTGTCCATAGTCTCAACCATGGCACTTTCTACTATGACATATTCTTCAGTATCACTCTCTGCAACAACAATTTCACTGACTTTGGTATCTATAATCTGACTTGACACACTATCTTTGATATCACTCTCTTGTTCTTTGTCTTTTACAGAATCTGTCTTCTCTAGCAATTCAGAGATTTCCTGACAACTGTTACCTTCTTTATCCTGGACTTCAGTCTCCATTGCCTGATCACACATGACAATCTCTACCCCTACAATTTTGTCTGCTGTAGTGACTTGTGCTAATACTTCAATGTCTCGAGCTTCTACTATATTTGTCTGAGTGCTCAAGCATTTAGAGTCTGTTTCTTTGGGACCCTCAGCTGGTTGAGGTTCTGTTGAGATTCCTTTCTCCAGGACACTTTTGCTGTCTGTACTGACTGATGCATCACACGTGACAACTGGTTCACACAGCGGCTCTGTCTCGATAGGACCTTGAAGTTTCTGCTCCTTCACTTGGTCAATCAGTTCCTGTATTCTCTCATCCTTTCGTCTATTCTCATCCATCTGCTCTCTCAGTAAGGCGTTTGTCTTTTCCAATTCACAACTGGCCTTGCTTAGACTCTCTTCTAAAGTTTTCAGTTTTGCTTCCAGCTCCAGGTTAGTGAGAAGTTTCTGTTCAGCAGGTTGGGCTGTTTTATTTTCTTCAGTTGTAGTTACACTTGGTCCCTCAACAGTTGGATAATCTTCTTGAGTGGATGTAAATTCAGATGCAGCAACTGATTCCTCTAATTCTGAAATCCCGTGTAACTGTGTCGATGCTTTATCTTCTAATAATGTCTCTAATGACCTATCCTGCTTTTCTGCTTGCTCTGAAAGACTCTTTGATGCTTCATCTTGAAGTGTAGACTCCTGCAAAAGTCCCTCTGCTTCATCTGGATCAGTTGGAGTTTCTGCTTTGTCTATGAGTATTACTGGAACAGACACTGGAGCTGGTACTTGTTCCTTCTCTGACTCTGTATCAGTTACTGGCTCTACAATATCCTGCACCACATGATTTTGTTCCTCTGATTGCTGTTCTGTGTTTTTGTTGGACTGTACTGCTTGAACAATTTCCTGATCAGCTGCAGTATCCATGTGAATGGAAGGAGCATCTTTCTTTTCCCTTACAACTGGAGGAACAACACTGGCTTGCGCATCAGTTTGAGGAACCTCACTCTTTTGCTTGGACTTTTGTTCTTGAATTCTTTGAAGCAGTTCTTCCCTCTCCGTTCTAAGAGAGCATATTTGAGCCCTCAACTCAGGAATGGTCCTGACTTGCTCTTCTAACTCACGCACCCTTTTCAGCGCAGCTGTGATTTGTTGATGCAAGCTGGCCCTGTCCTGGGGAACACTGCCTCTCCTGTCAACTCCATCCGTTGGTCGAAAAAGCCTCTCAGCTGAGCTGTTCTGCGATTGAGAACTCTGCTCATCAGTTGAATCTGATCCTTTCCTACGTGGGACATTAATAGGCATGCTAGAGGCTCTTAACAGGTGAGGCCTAACATTAAGGCCCATGGGCTGTTCATTCTCAGATGAGGTCTGTACTTGAGACTGTTCTGCTGCCTTTGGTGAGGGGAGGTAACCACTCCATGGCATCTTTGACTGGCTGGCAGGGGAGCTTCCACTGGTGCTACTGCTACCACTAATGGCATCACTGGCTCGGAACTCAAAAAGCTTCTGGACTTCAGTAACGCGTGACTTGGGTTTGGACCCTAAAGTGGAAGTATTGGCCCATGTGTCTTTGGCTAGAGGCCGAGCGCCATGCCCAGGAAGGCTGAAGTTGCGTGGCAGTGTGCTGTACTTTGGGCCCCTGTTCTTACGCTGGATGTGCACCCTCTTGATTGTGTTCCCTTTCTCTATGTCATCTACATACTTCAGGAAGTCCAGATCCAGGTGAAACCCATAGGGGGTCTCTACAGAATATGGCAGCTGTTTACGCTGTACTCCACTATCTGTGGCCTTGGAAGGAAAGCCATTTGCTGAAATACAAGGTACATATTACACATTTTGCATTATCTCATAGTAATTCCAATTCAAGCAGCCATTGTATTATTGAGCATATGGAGCATAATTCAACACAACAAAACAGTTGATGATGTTATCATTGTGCAAGGATTTGGAAGACATGAAATGCAAACACTTTTTTGCTGTCAACTCTTGTATGAACACAAGTGGAAGGAATATATTTACACATTTAAAACTGGAAATGACTAAAAACAGTCTGGCGTTCTTACCACTTTTCTTGTCCATTATTTCTGTTTTTGCAGTATCATGGGTGAAATCTGTTGTAAACACTGAAAACCTGTAGGCAGATCAAAATAAAGATGTACAGATCTAACATTTTTTATTAATCATCTAATGCAGGAGTGTCAAACTCAATTCCTGGAGGGCCGGAGCCCTGCAGAGTTTAGATTCAACCCTAATTAAACACACCTGATCCAACTAATCAAGTCCGTTAGGCTTATTTGAAAACTACATGGTATGTGTGTTGGAGCAGGGTTGAAACAAAACTCTGGAGAGCTCCAGAATTGAGTTTGACACCCCTGATCTAATGAATCAGTGACAACAATAATTACATTATGCATATACTGTAGGACATGTTGCTTTGGCAGTAAATTAAAATACTAACTTCCCGTGCAACATGACTTTATATTATTTGTTTGTGTCATTTTAAAACACCACACCACTATTAAAACCACAGTGATATAGTTAATTCTGTTAAATTTACTCCAGATGGCTCACAGTTTATGTGGGGTTGATTTAGGCAATGGAAAACAATTTTGCCATTTTAGATTTAAGATTCTTCAGGGGCTTACGTAAGGCCGCTGATCAAAATACATCGTGTTAATACAAACTGGACACACCCTCAGGCTTCAGGTCTGGAGATCTACACCAGATGGCTCACAGTTTATGTGGGGTTGATTTAGGCAATGGAAAACAATTTTGCCATTTTAGATTTAAGATTCTTCAGGGGCTTACGTAAGGCCGCTGATCAAAATACATCATGTTAATACAAACTGGACACACCCTCAGGCTTCAGGTCTGGAGAGCTACATGCCGAATGTTCCCACTGTGTCCTATCTTGAAATCATCCTAATTTACATAAATGTGGCAAGAAAACATACTGCAGGCAAAAGACAATCTCACTTGACAGTGTAAGAAAGCTAACTGCTGTCTTTTATTTAGTGTGGGAACAAATACATTTCACCAGTCACTAAAGATACACTCAGATTTTTGTTATTCTGAAACAGCACCATACTGTAGGTTTACCTTTGAGCTTTTCAACAATTATATAATCTATTGTTTATGATTACTGTGCTATTTATAAATGAATACACTGTATGTAGCACTGAAATTGTTTTGGATGCCACTTCACACAGCATATTCATTAGAGCCCTTGAGATGTAATTATACAGTCAAATTATACATGAAATGTGAACCTTCATCTGGTGAAGATGATCCTTTTAAAACCTTTTGCTTTAATGGAACCAAGTTCAACCCCCTCAAGGCATGTTTGCAGATCTTAACTATGTACTGAACTTATGGGAGAAAGATTACTCAAAGATGTGTCATCTGGCTGTGATTTCAATGTTGTAACCTGAGCCAAGGCTTGGTATTTGGACAGTTTGGAAAAGGATATTCTTCAAAGGTGCTATTCGACTATGTTTCATGAAATCTGGATCATTGGCTGGCTGCTGGATGTTCAGACCTGGACAGACTGGTATAGAAAAAAGAGAATATATGCTGACATTTTCAGTAAAAACAAAAACCAAAAACTTCTGACCTCTTGAAGTTACAACAAAATGTTCACTATGCACCATCAAGAACAGAGCCGATGAACAGATGAAGTTGTTTGTACCTGTTGGAGATATATATTTCACACTGACAGTGCAAGCAAGGATAGAAATATGCCTCGGTTGCTTTTTAGAAATGGGCTCTGAGCCATGGTTTGGTTGAGAAGTCAAGTGCTAAGCATTCTGAAGCACAGTGGTATAACAGAGTGCCAACACAGCATTTGGTGATCAGACCATCAATCAGCTAGCTCCCATGATTTCTGTTCACAACACATTTACTTTAGAAAATAAAGTTTTAAAATCGATGCTACCGTGAAAAAGAAATAGAGTGGTGTGGCATAGGGGTTAAAGCTCTAGGGATGTAATCAGAAGGTTGCTGGTTTGGTCACCACAAAGACCAAGCCATGAGCAATCACTGTTGTGGCCTTGAGCAAGGCATTTAACTCCCGGTTGATCCAGGGGGACTGACCTTTTAGTAAGTGTACTGTAAAGTCTGTTTGGAAAAGAGTGCCATCTAAATCAGTGGTTCTCAACTGCTTTCACTTCAGGACAAAGGTTTTATATTGGACATCACGAGGAAACACAAAATTGTAGGGAACCACTTAACACAAATCCAAATGTTGTTATTGTTAACTATTAAAATGAAATAAATAAATAATAATTGTAATAATAATAATATTTTGGTGATTGAAATAAACCAGAAATAAAATAAAATATAAATATATGAAAAACTCAAAACATAAATGAAAATGAGAAATGTTGTAATTGAAACTAAGTCGATAGCACTGGCATCTGCTTAATCTGACAGATTTAGATACTGAAACTGAAATACTGAGTTTGACTTGACAGCTATTAAGAAAATCATTACCAGATGTCATAATGCTAAAGTGTTAAAGTGTTTTTGTTACAGTGGTAATTAAGGAAATATTGAGTGTCTTAATTAGACTCCTCAGTGTACAAACAGCCTGCATTTATCCCCAGGTTTCAAGGCAAAACCCCATAATAGTGTGAGTTGGAGCTTGACTGACAGCTGAATCCCCAGAATCCGACACACTGCAGCAAGCATGGAAAATGTACAGCTTCTTAAGTCCTCTTGGTGAAAAAGGGACAAGGCAGGGACGGCAGGGGATAAGGGGCAACTCCAACCTAAGAAATGTTTAATGTGATTCAAATACACTGTCTGTCGTTGTGTCCTAATTAGCTAGAGCTGGAATGCAGCTTGTAATTGCTGAGTAAAGTGAGGCCTAGCCGCATGTCAGTTATCCACATGGAACCGAAGAACACAACACTGCCTATTTAATTAGATACTGAAAGAGAGAGAGAGAGAGAATAAGTGAAGAGGCAAGTGGGAAAGAGAGAGAGAGAGAGAGTGAGAGAGAGAAAAAAAAGATTGCAAATCATGGCCACTGGAGAGAAATTACTTTAATAAGAAGACTTTCATGCAATCCTCTGTTGGCCTCATTTAGAGGAATCTGTTTTAACTTATCAGTGATATTAGGCCATTTGAGTGAGTACATTTCAAGACTTCATGTTTCTAGTTTGTTTCAAGATTGCCTTTCCTTCAAAAGATAGTTTGTTGTGAACCAAATGTTTAGAATCAGCTGTTTGCATTGCACCCTGAAAAAAAAAATCATTCAATTGGATTGCAATACCCCATGCATTATATCAATTTAATTGGTTGACCTTTTTATCCTGCTCTAGCTCACGGATAACCCAACGGACCATGTACTGGTGAGCTATAATGGAAAGTCACTGTTTATTTACCTATTTACAGCAGATTTAATTCAATACAACTAATCAAATTGCAAAGAAGGAGCGGAAGTGAGGGAAGGAAATCAATCTCATTTGCTGTCTTTGTAACCGTGTAGGGGCAAAATGCACACAAACACACACTCACACACACACACACACACACACACACACACACATACAATACA